GCTTGGTAGGAACATCCTGTGTTCAGTGTTTTGTCCATTTGAGTACCTTGAAAACGCTTTGCATGCATTTTTGATGATGAAAAAAGGCTTTCGGGAACTAGAAGAGTTAAAAAAAAAATTCAAACGCAAATGCTTATAAACGCGATTTGCCGCGTTTTTTCGTTTGAAACGCTGATAAAATCGACTGCTGAACACAAGTTTTCTGCATTCAAAAAAAGACAGTAAACTCAAATGCCTGTAAACAACTGTAAACGAAGACGTGTACATGGACACATAGGAAAACATTAGGGTGAGTTCAGGGGCTGCTGAAAAAAACACTGAACAGCTCCTAAACGTGAGTTTATCAGCTACAGCGTACATGAGCCCTAACAAGAAATACAGCTGTTACACAATAAGACTTCTAATAACAAAAAATATACATTCAATATATCCACTTAATCAAAACTAAATGTTTGATATATAAAATGGGTATTCTGCTTTCCCGCACAAAACTATGGGTAATAAAAAAATGACATAAATTATGCAGTCTGTCAATGGCATTAACACGGCTGTCTTTGTTTTTCTGAGTCCTTCTCTAGCATAGTTTTATTACCTGTTGATCCAGCCAGTGAGTTTGTTATTTTTAAACTGGTGGGATTTTTTACAATGGTCAGCATTTAATCATTTAGTTAAAACCTTTATGCTAAAAGGAAAGAAATGTGTTTTTCTTGTTTTCTGCTTAAAAACCATTAGCTAAAGTTATGCTTTAATTTGTTAACCACTTATGTAAAGTCCATGTCAATCTACTAGTCTATCTAACATTGCAGATGTGGAAGTGAGGAATAATTTCGGTAACAGTGATCACAGAGTAATCATGTTTGCCATAAACTATAAGGAGGGTGTTAGATAATGAGTTTATGTGAAATCTCCATTAATGGATGTAAATAATGTTATAATTACAAGTATATTTTAGTTAGATGGAAATATACAGTATTTAAACCATTGAGTGTTTTGCAGCATCAAAACTTTCTAACGTCAAACTTGTATTACAAGTTCTAGCCTTCTGTTCCCTTAGCATATTTAATATGAGTGGTAAACAGCAGCCTTCTGTGAACTTACAATCAGGTTGCACCCAAAATACATTGGCTAGGTACAGTGTCCAATTAGTGAGCATTATATTAGCCACAGTACAGACAGAAGGGGGGGATATAAGGCCTGGTCACCAAGCTGGAGGGCTCTTGGTGATGAGACACACACAGCAGGCAGGATTACTAAACCTGAAGTTAAGAGGTAAAACTAACTTCATACTTGTATTGTATTGTACATTGTATTTTAAACATGGTTTTGTGGGTAAATTGTAAATATCGTATAAGTCAAGAGACTTAAACTGTACATTTTTTTGTAAATACTGCTTAGCGTGTATTTGTATATATTATGTACCTCTATCAATAAATGTATATTGCAGATTGAACTACCTCTTTTGTGTAGGAACTCTCAGATCTAGCTGTGCACATGTAAATACTCCTACAAGGATTGAGGTGTATTCAAAAATACATGTAACATAGTCAACAGAGGGGTAACATGGGGGCAGGACAAAAACATTAAATTTCAAAAGAGCCAATTTCACTAGGCTATGCTCCATACTTCATGATACTAAATGGGATCAAAATCTAGCAACTAAGAACAATGAAGTAAAATGGGAATGCTTTGAAGACATTTTAAACAACGGCATTTTCAGTGTATTCCAATTAGCAAAAAATATAAACAAACAAAAGTTAAACCTGGGTGACAAAATACTAAGGTAAAAAGGATCCCTAATAAGAAAAAACTGTTCTTTAAAAATATAAGGCTGAAGGGTCACTATCAGCATTCCAAAACTACAAAGAATGCAATAAGAAATGCAAGAGTGCAATTAAGACAGCTAAAAAATATTACAAGAGACATTGCTGAGGAGAGTAAAAAACATCCCAAAAATATTTTCAGATATATTCATTTTAAAAAGGCTAGGTCAGAACATACTGGCCCCATAAAAGATGATCAGGTGGAGTGAGTAACAAGCGACAGGGAGAGGGCAACTATTAAATATGTTATTCTTCTCAGTTTACACAAAGGGAAAGCAGGGGTATAATACACAAGACCAGGGGCGGACTGACAACTCATGGGGCCCCCAGGCAATATGAGATAATGGGGCCCCCTGTGTCTCCACCTACACTCAAGACATACCCACACAACACCCCACCTACATATTGCAGCTTAGCTGCACAGAAAGGGCATTAAAAATAATTAAAAAAATAATAAAACAATGTCGTGGGTGTCCCCCCTCCATTCATACCAAGCCCTTCGGGTCTGGTATGGATTTTGAGGGGAATCCCCAAAGTCCTTACCAGACCCTTATCCGAGCATGCAGGCAGGCAGATCAGGAAAGGAGGGGACAAGCGAGGGCCCCTTCCTCCTGAACATTTTTCTGCATTAAAAGTAAAAAAGTGTATTTTTTTAAAAAAAATTGCTTTTGAAAAATCACTGCATGAGTACTATGTGCCATAAAAAATTGTAGTACCCACCATTTTATTCACTAGGGTGTTTGCTTAAAAAAAAAATATATAATGTTTAGGGGTTTAAATTAATTTCCTAGCAAAAAATACAGATTTTTTTCATGTGAACAAAAAGTGTCAGAAAAGGCTTGATCTTCAGGTGCTTAGAAGAGTGAGTGATGTGTGGCATAAACTTCTAATGCTGGGCATAAAATGCCCCCACCCCCTAAAACGACCCCTTTTTTGAAAGTAGACACCCCAAACTATTTGCTGAGAGGCATGTTGAATCAATAGAAGAATTAATTTTTTCACCACAAGTTTTTGAAAAATGACAAACATTTTTTTTTTATATACAAAATTGTCACTTAAATGATTTACTGCTCACACATGCCATGGGTACATGTGGAATTACTCCCCAAAATACATTCTGCTACTTCTCCCGAGTGTGGGGGTACCACATGTGAGAGATGTTTTGGCAGTCTAGCCAAGCACAGGACCCCAAAATCCAATAAGCACCTTCAGGCTTTTAAAGGACTTTATATCCTCATTACACTTCCAGACTACCTATCACAGTTTCGGAGGCCCTGGAATGCCAGGATAGCACCTAACCCCCCCAAATGACCCCTTTTCGGAAAGTAGACACCCCAAGGAATTTGATAAGAAGCATGGTAAGTATTTTGCAGATCTTATTTGTTGTCACAAGTTTTTGGAAATTGAAGAAAAAAAACAAAAATATATTTTTTCTATTCTTTTTTTTTATTTCAAAACCTTGTGAGAAAAATGAGATCTGCAAAATACTCACCATACCTCTTTTTAAATTCTTTGGGGTGTGTACTTTCCAGAAAGGGGTCATTTGGGGGGGGGGGGTTGGTGCTATCCTGGCATGTCAGGGCCTTCAAAACTGTGATAGGTATTGAGGAAGTGAAATGAGGAAGTTACGCACCTTCAGGCTTTCAAAGTGGTCATTGGATTTCAGGCTCCTGTATGTGGCTAGGCTTCCAAAAAGTCTCAAACATGTGGTATCTCCATACTCGGTAGAAGTAGCAGAATGTATTTTGGGATGTAATTCCACATATACCCATGGCTTGTGCGAGAAATAAATCATTTAAATGACAACTTTGTGTAAAAAAAAAAAATGTTTTTGTAATTTTCCAGAAACTTGTGGAAAAAGATAAATCTTACATGGACTCAATATGCCTCTCAGCAGATAGCTTGGGGTGTCTACTTTCCAAAAAGGGGTCATTTGAGGGTGTTTTTGTACTATCCTGGTATTTTAGCACCTCAAGAAATATGATGGGCAGTCAGAAAGTAAAAGCTGTGTAAATTCCATTATCTATACCATAGTTTGTAGACGCTATAACTTTCACACAAAGCAATAAATATACACTTACTGGGATTTTTTTAACCAAAAACATGTAGCAGAATACATTTTGGCCTAAATTTATGACAAAATTTTAGTTTTTTTGGATATTTTTTATGACCGAAATGAGAAAATATATATATTTTTTTTAATTTTTTCTTCAAAAAGTTTTTTGTTTATAGCACCAAAAATAAAAAGTGCACAGGTGATCAAATACCACTGAAAGAAATCTCTATTTATGTGAAAAAAGGACGTAAATTTCATTTGGGTGCAGCATTGCATGACCGCGCAATTATAAGTTGAATTAGTACAGCGCCGAGTAGCAAAAAGAGGCCTGGTCATTAAGGGGGGTAAATCCTCAGGAGTGCAAGTAGTTAAAGGACATCTGTCAAGACATTATCTTTATTTTGTTCACCTTCACCATAAAGTTTAAAGCAGTATTTGTAAGTAACTTTCTGAGATTGGTTTAGAGCCTTGTAGCTCATTTTTATCAATTTTTTTTTTAATAATGATATTGTATCTACCTGGATAGAAAACTGGCTGCAGGAGTGCGCCCAGAGGGTGTTGATTAATGGCGTATTTTCTGAATGGTCTAGAGTTGTGAGCTGGGGCTCCATTTGGGATCATTTCTGTTTAATATTTCAGTCTCACTATTTGCTGAAAATACTAAACTAAGCAGGGCAATAACTTCACAACAGGATATAGAAACTTTAACCTCCTTGGCGGTCTGATTATTTCCGATTTTTTGTGCTGAAAGCGGTACCATTTTTTTGCATGGAAATATGTAGTTTTTTATTGTAGGCTGTAATTTTTAGCAATAACTCACTGAAATCTGTACGAACAAGAGCCTAGTAAACATCCCGGGTAGGATAAAATTTGAAACACAAAATCATAAATTATAATTTAATAAATAATCATAAAAAATAATAATATAATAATAAATTCACACATCGCTGAGCAAAGTCGCAAAATCGTTTTCAGTGTCTGATGACGAATTTCCCCACAAATCATTATCACTCAATTCTGCAAGTAGTCTGAATTACTATCGCTGTTCTCTAGCTGGTCTAAAACCGCTTTTGACGTAAAGGGGCGCTTTTTGGACGCCATGGACTTCTCTAAGTTTCCAGGCAGAAAGAACAGTCAAAATGCAGGCACGGCACAGGACAAAGCAGTGGGGACAAAATGTATGTGAAATGCATTGAAACAGCAATGTTTTACTATGTAATAATCATTTTTAAAAAATGAAAAAATGAAATTTTTAAAAAATTTCAAATTTGCCGCCGGTTCCGGCGCCCGTATGTCACAGGGACCGGAACACGGAAGCCGGATGCCAGCATCGGCCGGAGGAGATGGTCGGGGACACTGCAGGGGACACATCGTGGGAGCGAAGGACAAGGTAAGTGCTGCAGGGACTCCCTGAGAAACGCCGCATGGTAAGCCCGAGTGTAGCTCGGGGTTACCACTCTTGGTACTCAAATTTTACTCCGAGCTACACTCGGGAATACCGCTAAGGAGGTTAAAAGAGGACCTCAATAAAATAAAGGGGTAGGCAGCTATATGAAAAATGAGGTTCAATATTGAAAAATGTAAAGTAATGCACTTTGAAGTTAAAACTATGAATACAGATATACATTAGGGAGAGAACATCTGGAGGAATCGAGAATGGAAAAGGATCTAAGGGTCTCAGTAGATCACAGGCTCAGCAATAGCATGCAGTGCCAGGCTGCAGAAAGCAAGGATAGCATGAATTAACCACTTCAGGATCAAGATGTTTCACCCCCTTCCAACTAGGCCATATTTTTTAGTTGTCAGTGCTGCCACACTATAAATGACAATTACAATACTGTACCCAAATGAATTTTATATAATTTTTTTAGACATTGAGCTTTCTTTTGGTGGTTTTTAATAACCACTGCTTTTTTATTTTTTGCTATGTAAAGAAAATAAGACCTTAATTTTTGTTATAAAATTTAGCAGAAAAAAATACATAAATAATACATTTAGGCCAAAATGTATTTTCCTATGTTTCTTTGGTAAAAAAAAATAACCCAAATAAATGTATATTATTAAGTTTGTGTGAAGGTTTTACAGTTTACAAACTATGGTATATATTTGAAAATCGATCAGTCCCGATGTACTGTCTGTCTCAGTTCTTGTGGTCCTAAAATGCTAGGATAGTACAAATATCCCCCACATGACCCCTTTTTGGAAAGTTGACAGTCCAGAGTATTTAGTAAGAAGCATGGTGAGTTTTTTGAAGTTGTAATTTTTTTGTCACAGTTTTTTTTGGAAAATAAAGAAATTAAATAAAATGTGTTGTTTCACAATTTTTGTTTTTACATTCTGTCACCACATTATCATTAGACTGGTGTGTCGGTGTATTCAGAGATACTGACTGGTGACAGTATGTAAAAAAAAGTTTTAATAATGTAAATTTTTTTTAATTACATACTGGCACCAGAACAGTACAGTGTCACCATAGTGATACTGTACTACTCTGGAGGGGTGATTTTTTTTTCTGCTGTGTCCACCAGCCCCTAGGGTAAACATGATGCATGTGACTGAGAGGACGTCATATGATGTCCATCTGCAATAATGGTGCTCCAGCCCAGTCTTTTTACTATAGGCTGGGCGGGAGGTGGTTAAGGACACTAAATGCAATATAGTAAATTCTTGTTTTTGGATTTAAATAAAATAAAGCCCCGCCTCTTCTTGCCTCACCCCAGCCCCTCACTATTAGATATAAAATATTTTCTTTTTGTTTTTTCATTTAATGCATTTGTTTTTGGTGCTGCAAAGCAGCAATTCCACATTACTCACTTAGGTGAGAATGAGGTTTCCCCCACCCCATTTCCAGATTCTACATTTGCACAGATGTGCTTCAGGGCTTCGGGTGCATGTGCAGGTTCCCTTGGACATTTTCATATGCACAGGAGGTTGAGGAGGTGACAGCTATTAAGGAAGTCCCAAACCTCTGCCATCTCTGTGCATGCACATGAAAGTCTCCTGCATGTGCACAGATGGGCCAATGGGCTCTGTCAGTACCCGAAGGCTGGGTAGCACCCTTTGTCACATCTGAGCGCATGCCATAATCGCAGTGATGGAAGGGAGCGTAAAGCCACCTAAGAGATGGACTTAAAGTCCGCTTTAAGGACTTTATATACTGAATACCATCATTACAGGTATTAACCTCATTTAGTTACTACACTGCTCAAAACATTTAATGGAATGCTTTTTAATCAAATATAGCATCAAGTCAATTAAACTCATGGGATGCTGAACAAGGTCAGTTAAGTAGCAGAGGGGGTTGTTAATTAGTTTCAGCCGCTTTGCTGTTAATTAAATTAACAACAGGTGCACTAGATGGGCAACTATGAGATGACCCCCAAAACAGGAATTAAATTTTTTCCCCTACTCATCTTTTCTTACTGCTTTTCACTAGTTTTGGCTAGGGTCAGTGTCACTACTGGTAGCATGAGACAATACCTGGACCCTACAGAGGTTGCACAGGCAGTCCAACTCCTCCAGGATGGTACATCAATATGTGCCATTGACAGAAGGTTTGCTGTGTCTCCCAGCACAGTCTCAGGAGCATGGAGGAGATTCCAGGAGACAGGCAGTTACTGTAGGAGAGCTGGACAGGGCTGTAGAAGGTCCTTAACCCATCAGCAGGACCGGTATTTGCTCTTTTGTGCAAGGAGGAACAGGATGAGCACTTCCAGAGCCCTACAAAACAACCTCCAGCAGGTCACTGGTGTGAATGTCTCTGACCAAACAATCAGAAACAGACTTCATGAGGGTGGCCTGAGGGTCCCTCTAGTAGGCCCTGTGCTCACTGCCCGGCACCAGAGAGCTTGATTGGTATTTGCCATTGAACACCAGAATTGGCAGGTCCATCACTGGTGCCCTGTGCTTTCACAGATGAGAGCCGTTTCACCCTGAGCACATGTGACAGACGTGAAAGGGTCTGGAGAAGCCGTGAAGAACGTTATGCTGCCTGTAACATCATCCATCATGACTGTTTTGGTGCTGGGTCAGTGATGGTCTGGGGAGGCACATCCATGGAGCGATGCACAGACCTCTACAGGCTAGACAGAGGCACCCTGTTTGCCATTAGGTATCGGGATGAAATCTTTGGACCCATTGTCAGACCCTACGCTGGTGCAGTGCGTCCTGGGTTCCTCCTGGTGCATGACAATGCCCGGCCACATGTAGCAAGAGTATGCAAGCAGTTCCTGGAGGCTGAAGGAATTGATACCATTTAATGGCCCCAACGCTCGCCTGATCTAAATCCAATAGAACACCTATGGGATATCATGTTTCAGTCTATCCGACGCCGCCAGGTTGCACCTCAGACTGTCCAGGAGCTCAGTGATGCCCTAGTCCTGATCTGGGAGGAAATACCCAGGACACCATCCATCGTCTCGTTAGGGGCATGCCTCATACATTGTTAGGCATGCATACAAGCACGTGGGGGCCATACAAACTACTGAGTACCATTTTGAGATGCTGCAATTAAATTTCTGCATTTTTTTCACTTTGATTTTTCAGGGTGTCTTTGAATTCAGTCCTCTGTAGGTTGATAATTTTCATGTCCATCAAACGATGGGGCATCCTTACATTCTTAACACCATACCCAGTCCATATTAGTATAGATATCCAGCACAATATTTTTCCCCATTGAGAACTGATGTATTTTCAAAGTGTTCCTTTAATTTTTTTGAACAGTGTATAATACAATATTTTCTCTAGTTGGTCCTTAGGCTAGCAATCAGTTTTCAAATTAGCATTTCAGCTAAATTTCCAAGTCTGTATCTTATTGGTAATTTCAGCTTTTAGTATGTTCTCCTTAAACAAATATGGATTCTAGCCATACCTTCAGGAAGAATCTTTGTTTCAGTATTGCCAGCTTAAATTGAACCGTGTAGTATGATTTATTAACAATCCTTCTAGCATTCCAGAGAGGAAATGTTTACCTCTTGTTAGGAAGATTGGCTGCTGAATACATGAGTGTTGAATAAAAGATAAAGAGAACTAAAAAATACGAGTGGTGGCCTGAAATCTTATGATGTCTGTCAAATCTGTCCACTAAAAAGGTGAAAGATTTTCTCACTGAAAGCAAAATGCTATTAGGAATTAATGGTTTGCATATATGTATTGTTTTCTTGGAATTTAGATAATATTTTGGGTTTAAATAACATCATTGGAGTTTCCATCTGATATTTCAAAATGAAATAATTTTGCTGCTGTTCATCGTTGTTTTAATGATTTTCAATATTGGTGATCATATTCATGTTGTATAGACAACTGTATCCTTGGGCTCTTTTAAGCTGGTTGCAGCAAAGATCATTGTATTTGTAATTAAGGAAATGGATAAAATACTTTCACTGTATGTTTGGGGGATTGGAAAGCACCAATTAATAGTGTGGTGCCACTTTACAGACTCATATATGGCTAGAGGATGCCCAAAAAACATGGTTTAGATGGATTGAAACCTAACATGCAATTAACACCCTGTTTGAGGTATAAATATTTGGATACATACATATGAAAGACACAGGGATAAGGTTTTTTTTTTTTTGTTTGTTTGTTTTTTTAAACCATTGTTAGAAACAAAACATATATCTGGATATTCAGTGCAAAAAAAACTCCTTAACCACTTGCCCTCCAGAGGATTTACCTCCCTTCCTGACCAGGCCATTTTTTGCGAAATGGCACTGCGTTACTTTAACTGACAATTGCATGGTCATTTAACACTGTACATAAATTAAATTTATGTCCTTTTTTCCTACAAATAGAGCTTTCTTTCGGTGGTATTTGATCACCTCTGCAGTGTTTATTTTTTGTGCTATAAACAAAAAAAGACCGACAATTTTGAAAAAAAACACCCAATATTTTTTTATTTTTTGCTATAAAACATATCCAGTAAAAACATGGTAAAAATAAGATGTCTTCATAAATTTAGGCCAAAATGTATTCTGCTACATGCCTTTGCTAAAAAAAAATTCAATAAGTGTATAATAATTGGTTTATGTGAAAGTTATGGTGCCTACAAATGGCGGTATATATACTGAATTTTTTTTTTATTTAATACTAGTTGCGGCAATCAGCAACTTTATAGTGGGATTGCAGACTTCAGGACTGTGGCAGGTATTCTGACACTGGGTGGGAACTAACTGCCACTGACATCCCCAGTGACACTAATACAGTGATCAGTGCTAATAAAAAGCACTGACACTGTACTAATGACACTGGGCAGGAAGGGGTTAACATCTGGTGCGATCAGATGGTTAACTTTGTGCTGTGTGCTGTTTCACTGTGTGCTGTGTGTGTATTTTACACTGTAAGCACACTGCTTTGTATTGCTCTGCTATGCAGAGTGCTGGAACTGATAGGGGAGAGATCTGTATTGTTTATATACAGACCTCTCCCCCAAGAGTGATACTCGGTGATCGGTTCCGGCGAGGAATCACCGTCCAGGATCTAAATCCAATAGAACACCTATAGGATATCATGTTTCAGTCTATCCGACGCCACCAGGTTGCACCTCAGACTGTCCAGGAGCTCAGTGATGCCCTAGTCCAGAGCTGAGAGGAAATACCCAGGACACCATCCATCATCTCATTAGGAGCATGCCCCGACTTTGTTATGCATGCATACAAGCACGTGGGGGCCATACAAACTACTGAGTACCATTTTGAGATGCTGCAATTAAATTTCTGCATCATTTTTTCACTTCGATTTTCATCCCCAGGAACACTAATACAGTGATCAGTGCTAATAAAAAGCACTGATACTGTACTAATGACACTCGGCAGCAAGGGATTAACATCTGGGACGATCAAAGGGTTAACAGTGTGCTCTGTGTGTTTTACATTATGTGTTGTGTTTTACTACAGAGACATGCTGCTTTGTATTGCTCTGCAGAAAAATACACAGCAGCATGTCCTTGCTGACAGGGGAGAGACCTGTGTTGTTTACACACAGGTCGCTCCCCTCCCAGCTCTGCCGTCGACCACCGAGTCCCGGCTGGGACCCAGTGATTGACATGTCCAGCAGCCAATAGCGATGGGGTAGGGCTGCGCGTGTGCCCCCTACCCAGAGATACAAATCACATATATATATACGTGACTTTGTGAAGCCCTGCCACCATATAGTAGTACTTCTGCTATAGGGCGGCAGGAAAGTGGTTAAAAACAATTTCACTCCATTACAATGGATTAAAATAGAAGGCATAGCTTAAACCCAGGTGTCCACAAAGAATGAACTCTGTTATTTCACAGCCATTGTTTCTAATTTTAGAGACTTTTTAATGGCTCACATTTTACCACTGGATTGGTACAAGGCCAACCTGGTTCCTGTATTTAAAACGTGATCAACGTCTTTACCAAGTAACTATAGAAGAGTTAGTTTTTGGGTCCATTCACACAGGGCAGACTCCGCCTGCAATTCATTTGTTCTGTCTGCTGATCCCCACTGGGCAGATGGATGACAGGTCTGTGTTCCCTTCACTTATGCAAAGCAGAAATGGACACTACCCCTTCTCCTCTATGGGCGGACAGATGTAAACACTGGACAGAAGGGGAACGGATCTCCATCCTTTTGCTTTTGGCAGATTGGATGTAGGCAGGTGTAAATGAACACATGTTCATTTACACCTGCCACTCCATAGTGGAGAATGGAGGTTCTGATCAGGTCTGCCTGTCTGTTTATTCAGACGGACCTGATTAGAACCTCCATTCTTCACTATGTAAACAGAACATTTGTGTGAAAGGAGCGTAACATCCATAGTCAGGAAGATACTTGAGAGTTTAAATTTATACTAAAGCTTCTTTTTTTTTTAATAAAATAAAAAAACAGGTCATACTTACCTGCTCTGTACAGTAGTTTTGCACACAGCTGCCCTGATTCTCTTCTTTTCGGGTTTACCTCGAGCAGTGCCCCCAGAGAAAGCTGCTTGCCCTGGGGGCACCTCTGCATGTTTGTCCCAAGCCACTGCTGTATGCTGGGCCTCGCCCCCACTCTCAAATTGGCTTACTGGCTTTTATTGACCGCAGCGGGGGCCAATGGGCTCCCATTGCAGTCTCAGCCAATGAGGAGAGAGAGTCCCCATACAGCCGAGGCTATTGCAAACATCGCAACAACCCTTTCTTGGTGATCCACATAAATTGCTAAGATTTTAACAAATTTTATAGTCCTACTTGTTTTCGTTCTTAAGAAAAAGCTGTATGTCCTTGGAAGGCTGATTCCTGAATGGGAGTGTCTGTGTTTATTCTAATCAGCTGATGTATTTTCAGTTTTTTAATGAGGAAAGTGTTTGCATTACTTAGGGAGTATCTCAACAATAATATAATTCCTATTGTTTACTTGTCTACTTAGTGTAGACTTTTGGGAAAATTAGTCACACAAAGAAGAAATTATATTTCGAGGGAAGTGAATACAGAAGGTCTCCAGTTTGCCATTTTGCATTGCATTTTACATAAAATTACAGTGGCTGCAAATTGAAAAAAGATAATTTTCATTATATTAAATTACAATATGACTTGTGTAGCAATTGTCTATGCTATAATTTTATATTACATTTTGTGTGCTATTTTTTTCACAAAAGTGGAGTTACTCTTTAATAGTAGCATGCAATGCCAAGCTGCATTTTCTAAGGCGAGCAAAATACTTTTTCTATTAAAGAACACCTTTCCTCTTTTCATTAGAAATCACAGCAGCATACAGCTCTGCATGCTGATATGAAATTATCTTACGTTCATTAATTAAAACATTTTTTGACTTTACTTAAGATTACTGTTTTTCCACTTTCATAGGTTACTGATGTCATCCTAGCCTTACAGATGCAAAATGGCCACATTAAGAATATTATACAGTGAAAAACAATTGAGAAGAAAAAAAGGGAACCGGGCTATGCTATAATTTTATATTATTTTTTATTTGCTATTTTTTCACAAAAGTGGAGTTACTCTTCAATAGTAGCATGCAATGCCAAGCTGCAGTTTCTAAGGAGAGCAAATTGTTGTATTAAAAGACCTTTCCCCCTTTCATCAGAAATCACAGCATCATACAGCTCTGCATGCTGATATGAAATTATCTTACATTCATTAGTTAAAACATTTTTTGGTTTTACTTAAGATTACTGTTTTTTCCACTTTCATAGGTTACACATGTCACCCTAGCCCTACAGATGCATCCTGGGAAATTCCTGTCGCACATTTCAAGAGGCAGACCCAGAGTGCTAAGCAGTGTTCCTGGAGGTAAAGGGAGATGGATTAATCTGCCCTTGGTAAAAATGGCCACACTGACAATAATAGGAAGTGAAAAAACTATTGAAAAGCGAAAAAAAGCCTTCAATTACTGTATTTATACATTTCTGTTTTTAGAGTTCCATTACTAAACATTTTAAAGGTGTCTTTGTTGTATTTTGTATGATAAGAGGGAAGTTCCTCTTTAAAAGAGGTACAGTATAGACTCCAGAGAGAGAAACATAGTTTTGCCCCTGTACAAATCATTAGTAAGATCTCATCTGGAAAACACAGTTCAGTTTTGGGCACCAGTTCACAAAAAGATATTGGTAAGGAGGTTTTTTAATTTTTTTATTCTGTTGATTTTCTATTGGTTGGACTTGTGCCTTTTTTAACTTGACTAACTAGGTCACTATGTAAAAATCTGGTTGTACAAATTATGTAAAAGCTCTTTTAGATTTAGCTACTGAAACATCCCATTTGATTTGTATTTAATCAGCAAGGCTCTCACACCACATCATGGGTGTGGCAATGTGTGTGGCAATCTTTAGACATACAACTAATCTGTAGTGTATTTTTCTACACTCTGTCACGATTTCCATTTCTCATGGCTGTTTTGTTGTCTGTTTGAAAAGGTATTGGTAACCTATTAAAGAGATTTTTTTTTTTACCAAGAAGGTAAAATCTTTTATTGAATAAAAAAAATAACATAAGATTACAGTATAAAGCATTGAGATGTACAAAGGTTGAACAGGAACAACCAACTAAACAAATTTAATAAAAAGACAACTACATGGTGACAATATAAGTAGGATACTGATCATAACACAGTAGTGGAGACCTGTATAGGATATAAATTTGTCAGCAGCAAAAAAAAAAACAGTTAGCATATCCTCTTATGAATCGTACATGTCTACCTGAGGGAAGATAATATATGTAAAAGATACTGTATATACTAATAATAATGAGAGAAAAATAAATGTACAGATTGTATATGAAGCCAATCCAAACCTTCCTTATCTAAGTGCAGGTGTCTACAGATTGCAGCCAATGATTTGTTATATTTGCTAGGACAGCCTCTATTAACATGTATAACTTTCGTTAAAGGTAGGGTATTGTTAATATCTGCCATCCACTCCTCCAATGTAGGATTTTTGTTTATATTAAGATAAATGTAACCCCAAGGAGTTGCAATATCTTCATTCAATAAGGTAGTTGGTGAACTGATGATATCAGTGCACTATTATGACATAACTGCTTTGGGAGACTTTCAATTTTCTGGTAAACAATTTTGGTTATTCCACATAGCTAAAAGGGTTCAGATTCTGGAGTTATGCTTCTCCTCTAAAAGGTTAAAGTTGAAAACAATATTTAGCAGAAGCTACTCATAAAAACTCTGAAAATTGGCAAAATGTAACCAAGAAGATCGAACTATATGTTACCTTTGTAAGATAATGAATCTTTGGTCTGAAAAGAAAGGGTATGGCTTATAATGATTTGTAACCCCTTCCTGTCTTTGTTGATAACTGATCCCAAAGGCACTTTGGTGTTATTCCATGAAGTGTAACACCTAACATTTATAGGTAAAGTTGATCCAGGAAATATCTGATTGCCTGTCAGGGGATCAGGAAGGAATTTTTTCCCCTGCAGGAGCAAATTGGATCATGCTTCTCTGGGTTTTTTGCCTTCCTCTGGATCAACTATGGGTGTACGATTATAACTTTTTTTTTTATGGTTGAACTGGATGGACTTTTGTCTTTTTTTTTTAGCCAAACTAACTATGTAGCTTTCTTTGAGTAAGGCAACACAAGTACACTATAATTTATTAATAAAATATGAAAGAAATGCAATTATCTTCCCTGCCACATCCTTTTCTTCTATAGTCTGTAGTAAGTACATTTGTTGAAATTTGTTTCAACCTAAATTTGTTGAACTTACAAAAAAAAAATCACCAAACTTGAATTGCCTGAAGTCAACAGGAGACATATGTTTACACATTTGAAAGACTGCAGGGAAAGCTATTATGTGATTTGCTTCACTCGTTCAAAATGTTCGTTATTCAGAGAGTCGGATGTATATGAATCTCTGAATCACAATAGTAACAAATTTCAATGAATCCAAACTAAAATATATTGAAAAAAACAAATTCATATTCATTTGTTTCATTCAAGTGACATGATGTCAAAGTTTGGGCCTTCTGTTAATGCTTGAAGCATCCAAAATAACGTAATGACAAATTAATCCAAAATTTATTTTGTTCCATTAGGTCTTTCGGATCCATTTTTTTTTTATTTTGCATTAACATTTTTCATTAATATAAAAAATGCCCTACATATGAAATGGAAAAATATTGCAATAAACGGTAACAGTAAGTTAAAAAAGTGAAAGAAATTTTCTAAACGATTCCTACCTATTGCGTTTGGTTTGGATGGAGGTGGATCAATCAGAACCTCCGAATCATAGCATAATGAATGAATGCAAAAGTAATTTAATTCCATTCTTTTTTCTGGATATTGTCCAATCAACTCTTTCCACTTCTCTTTGTGGGTTGGACTTTCCAGATCCAAATATACAGTATGAAACTAAATGGAATATACAAAACTAATCAGAATATACGCAATAAATTCTGAAAATTAATCATTCCAATATAACGAATATGATGAAACAAAATTACTACTAACTTAACGAATTAATCCAAAACGAAAACATTTTTTGATCATGTACATCTCTAATTGTTACCAAAATGGCATGGGAGCCATTACAGTTCTCCTGTAAGTGGTTTTATTATTATTTTATTATTATACAGTATTTATAAAGCG